TGTGTGTGTGTGTGTGTGTGTGTGTGTGTGTGTGTGTGTGTGTGTGTGTGTGTGTATACGATTTCAAGTGTTTGAAATACTGCACTAATATTAACTGATTAATAATTGACTCATGCCAATGCAAAATGTACACATTAATGTGTCTCATTTGATTTCACTGTTATCACTTTTGTGCACTCAGGCTGATTAACTGTCTCAGCAAATAGTCAGCCCTAGTATTGTATGTATGCAGCCCCTCAATCTGCTTCTGCAGTCATGATAACTGAGTGAACAATGTGCACTCTCTCTGAAGACCTGGGCTATTCTTCTCTCCTTCTGGCTATAGACTGACCGTGACAAAAAGATCTAGGAGAGGTCAAAAGGCAGCACCAACCTGATCATCCAGGGGCAGCTCACAGAAAGCTGGGATGTATTTGGCCCACTCCACCAGCACCAGCAGCTGCTGCTTCATTGATTCGCAGACATCTGCGATGTTAGCTATCTTCTTCCCTCGGATATCTCCGCTGATCACAGAAACTGGTGATGATATCTGCAAGGATGAGAGAGGACTTACAGAGGACCTTCATATTTCAGAGCTGAAGGGGCCAGAGCTAAGGAAGTCCAAGACCCTAGGAAGGCTCATGAAAGGTGGGATCAGGAGATATAATGTTGATGAGATGGGCATCTTTCACCTACAACACCCAAAAGCCAAAAGCACTGATTCATTATATATATCAACTCTGTTTGCTTACAGACCTGCAAAAATTAGTGCTGGTTAAACCTGAAAAGCTTCAGAGCTTTTCTTCAGAGAAGCCCCCACATACTCATCTGTTGATTTCCATGTTGGAGGGAATTGAATGTGCACTGGGAACTGTACTGAATGTCACTAAGCTTCTAGGCTAGGGACAGAAATTACACATATACCAGTATAAGTGATCAGAAACCAGTTCAAACCCGTAACACAACAGAAGTTCAGTGTGCATGTATAACCCACTTTCAAAATGGCCAAAACTAGTTTAAAATAAATCTGGATGGGATGTAGTATCAGATTTAACTGATTTAGGTTCAATCAGTTTATTGAACTTCTGTCCCAGATCCCCTCCAGATTCAAGTTAACTCACAGTCCCCCAGCATCCCAGGATGCTTTGTACCTCCCCTGTAAACCCCGCACCCCCTTGCAGGGTTGGGTGAGCTAGCCTTGGCCCAAGCTGTCTGTTCCAGATGAGCGGGGAGCCATGCTCTAACACCCCACAGCTTCTGGCCTGGGGCACTGCAGGCATGTGGCTGCATTTCTGGAATCAAAAGTGAATGTCTGTTCATTTGCTTATCAGCTCAATCCACACAGCTCAGACTAACCTGGGAAGATTGAATCAACTCAGCCTTGGGCTTTTTGTACTTAGGCCTAATGCCTGCATGTTTCACTTTTCGTGATCCTGCCTGTAGAAAAAGCCACAGAAGATATATGGGGTGGAGTAGGATGGGTAGTAGAATAGGGAGAAACATTAATGAACTAAAGGGAAAAATAAAACTGAAAGTTATTTCAATTTTTCCAACTTTTAAACTAACTCAATCACTAGGTTTTGGGGGTGGTGAGGGGAGAGGAGGCTATTTGTAATGTGTCACAAATGTTTCAGTCAGTTTTTTTAATTGAAAACAGTATTGGATCACTTTTTAACATTGTTCTCGATTTTTTAGTGTCTGTCTACTGAAGAACTGAGCTTTTACTAGATCAAGGTTTAGGTGCTGATTTGAATAATATGTGTAAGTAAAATGGGACTGGAGAACTACCCTGCCACACCTATGTTCCCAGTAACCATGGCTGTCACTCTTCTGCCTCTGCCTGGCTTTTGTCTCTGATGTGTGTAATACTGAAGAGACTCATTGTTTCTTCCTCGTGCTGGCGTAAGTCAGGGGTCTCTTCACTGGAGTCTGCTCCCCCCAGTTTCAAGTCAGAAGCATTTTAGGCCCTGTTTTGTAAGACTAAATGGGTGCCAGTGTGCCCATGAGAGTGGTCTGTTGCCTAACTTGCACGTGCAACCACTGTGATTGCCAAGGCAAACCAGACCATTTCACTTGCAAAATGGCAAGCCGGTCCAGCCTGCCTGTATAGTGACTGGATTGTTGCCCAAAGCCTCAATCCATATCCATATAACCGAGGTGTAGGCCTGCATGCATATTTTGTATACAGAGCTGCACGCCCAGCTAATTTGAAAATCTGCCCTTAATCACCAGTTTATCCTTATGCTTCTGTGAGCGATTAACCAACCTTATCACTCCCCTCCTTCTGCCCTCTCTTGCCCCATTCAGCATTCGTTATTTCCATCCCATTCTTCCCATCACTTTCACCTCAGGCCCTGTCTCCCTCGTTCACAGAGTTGCCTCACTGAGGAAATGTAGTTCAAAAGCCACCTGCAGGTTTTTTTGGTTTTTTTTTTAAAAACTATTCCCAACCCCCGGTTCATTTTCTGGAACCTCTCCAGATCTGGAACTGTTATTGAATAAATAAGATTGTAAAAATCTCCCTGTGTATTACCCTAATCAGGGAGGCCGGAAGGCTTAGCAAATAAATACAGACCTCTGGTGAGTGACCTGAGATCTCAGAGAAAAGGGCTCCTCAGCAGTATCTTAGTCTAATTAGCCAGGAACATAGAAATTACCAGTTAGTAGGCTGGATCATTTAACAGGCCTACATGTACTCTGCCAGAGTGGATTTCTTGGCAGCTGCTGGTGGCTGACTCAACAGTTGTATATCATGCTCTTGCAGAACACACAGTCTTATAGTAAAAATAGCCAATTGCCCATCAGGAATGACGGGGGGTGGGGAGAGCATGCAGGGATGGAGTCCTGTGCCCCCGCCCCAATCCAGGCCTGCTCCCCTTTACCTCCTGCTGCTTGGGGTCTGGGCCTGCTTCCCACTGCAGTGGTGGGAGGAGGGGAGGACTGGGCCCATGCCCGATGTGGGGGTGGACTGGGCCCAAGGGTGGGGAGAAGCTGGCCCGCCACAGCAGGGGAGTGGGAGGAGTGGGCTCGGAGCTGACGGGGGGAGGAGGCCCGAGCTCAAGCTGGGGGAGAAGCCGGCCCATTTCAGTGGTGGAAAGCAGTCGGCCCAGCCCAACAAGGCAGCAGCTGCGGCAGGGGAGGAGTGAGCCTCCTCCCCACTTGGGCTCGGGCCCAGGCCCACTCCTTCCCCACCCCACCTCCTCCCCCAAGCCACTCCAAGCCTACTCCTCCCGTTCCCCTGCCACCACCGGGTTGGTCCGGGCCTGCCGTTCCCCTGCCGCAGTGGGCTGGATTCTCCCCTGGCTCAGGCTCGGTTCTCCTCCTGTCCCCTGCATGGGACCTGGGCCCACTCCTTCCCTCCCCCTCTACTGCCGCGGCATGCCCACTATTCCCCCAACCCACATTGGGCCCACTCCTCCCCCCACCACCACCACTGCGTCCTATGGTGATGATGGAAGTTGGGGGGCAGGCTGAGGCCAGAGCCGTGGCCTCGTCCCCTCCCCATGGCATCCTGACCCCACTTGCCCCCCTGCCACAGCCGCCATCACCTGCAAGGAGTGGGGGGGGGAGGCCAGTGTTGCTGGCCTCGCCCCCCATTCCATCTTCTCCGTTGCCCCCGCCTCCAAGAAGGAGGGTGGGGGACATGCAGGCCTCGCCCTCCCCCCCATGCCCTGTGTCCCCACCATCATGGTGGTGCTCCACCATGCTTCAAATGCTTGTTTGCACTCTGATTGGCTGACCAGAGGACCCACTGTCTTGCTTTGTAGTAAGGAGCACAATCATTAGTTTTATAGAGGCCATAAATGTGCTACGAGCTTTGCAGCAAAAGACATGGGCCAAGATTTTCCAACAGTCATTCCTTGGTAGAGATTCCCCTCTGGATACTGCCCAGGCTGCTATGTTTTGGTCTCACCATAGTGAGCTTGTCTGATCTTAAACTTCCCTTGAACTAAACAGGCTGCTGCACAGGCTCTTTCCTGGGCTTGTTTTACACAGACTCTCTGGGCGCGTCTGCACCTGCCCCTGACCACACAGTCGGTACTATGCAGCCATTTAGTACTTGCCTTACCCACCGGTACTGCACAGTCCCAGCGGCTCACAGGTCATTTTTGATTCTACTGTTCATTAGCAACGAGCTACTGTGCAGTAGTGTCAGCATCATGGTTAGTGCCTGCTAATGCTATGTCACCATAGCGACGAGCTATGCCGCTGTAGCACATCGCTACAGCGATGTAGCGTCTCATGTAGATGCACCTTTATCCCTTCATGGCATTTCCCCATAAGATGTCTCGTATCCCTTCATGGCATTTAAGTCTCATGGTCCAGAGACTTAAATGCCTAGACACCCAATAATTGAAGAACACATTTCCCCAGCACTCCAGCCTCAGGCACTCCGGGTTTTCAATTTGCTTGTCCAGGGACGTGATGGTTGGAGCAAACTGAAACACAGACCTAGTGAGGAGTCCAAAAGCCAATCCCTCTTCACTTTAGCAAGGACTGTACAGGCATACAGGCCCAGGGGCAAGATAATAACCACTGGCACACATTTCCCTGCCTTGGTTCCCTCATGTCAGACTCTCTGAGGATTCTCCCTCCTTGAGTCTCTCCTGTGAAGCATTTTTCCGTGTTCCTTAGCCAGTCACATAATTAAAACAGGCCACACAGCTGGGAATGAATGACCCCTTTTCTTTTCTCCAGTCCAAACTTCCCATACCCTAATGAGTGTCTCTGAGTTTCCCATCCCTCAGATGTTGGGGTTTTGAAGACCTGGAATTAGCATTTGCTTTTTTTCTTCTATTTCTGGGGAAATTCCAGTGCTTCCACTCCTTTCCCTGCAGAGGACCTTGCTTGGATTGATTTCTCTGGGCTTCAGCCATCCCACTGTCCTAACTTGCTCCCACCTTTAATAGGAGCCATCAAAGTTTAATGACCTTCCATTGCCCCTGGCCTGAGAGACACATGACACAGGCCCAACAGGATGTGGCTGGCTGAGGCATGCAGCGATGCAGCAATTTCAGAGCCTCAGCCAGGATTCTTAAGCTTTATATATCAATTCTCCAAATTTTCACACCCAGGATTTGGGGAGTCACATTTTTTGTCTGAGCACCCAAACCTTGGAAATCAGCTGTCTCCACAGAGGCACCTGAAAACAGAGACACCCCCAAACTGCTAGCCACAACATGAACTCAGGCTTGCAATATTCTGAGTGCCCTGGCCTCAGTAGAGTGCCTTCCACTCCATCTGATGTCAGCAAAGCCCAGTAGTCAGCACCTACAGCTTGGACAGGCCTTAATGATCTCATTAGGTTTTTCTTTTTCTCACCTTTACTCCTTTGCAAGGGTTTTGACAGTTGTCACCTTCCAGGAGGCCTCTGAATGACATGAGGAAGGTGGTTTGATATGCAGTTTTAGAAAGAGCATTTCTTGAATAAGAAGCACCAAGGAATGAGATGCCATGATGCCTATCAGAGGAAAGAGAGTGGGGGGGAACAGGCTGACACCGTTGGTAGAGCAGAGAGAGGAAAGTTGGTGGTGAGGTCTGAGATGGGCTTCATGATGCATGGTGTTGAACAAAGACTTCCCTTGTATTCCACTACTGGTGAACTGAAGGACTATCTTAGATTATGCCATTGGATGTAGGGCCATGTGGGTAGATATTGCCAATGCTTTAGGCCCAGGCTGCCTCGGTTAGAGAGGAGACTGGATGGGAAACTCTCTGAGCTGAAAGCCTGATAGAGCCACCCCAAGTGTTTGCCTGTCTTGGAAGCCTTGGTTCAGTTCTCCCCAAACAATGTCAGTTTTTAAGCTGTGCATATTTGTTCAAATTCTTAAACAAATTTGCTTCCTCTTTTTTTGGGTCCCTTTCTGCAAATATTTCTGTATATGACTTTCCTGGCAGGATGTCTGCGGAAACAGAGGAATTTTAAAACCCTGGAAAGAATATTTGCATAAAGCAAAACCTTTAAATACATAATTATCCCAGGTAGAACAAGCATCAGAAACCTGAATCTGAGAGTTATTCTTGTCCAGTCAGGAAGTGGAAACACAACATGTGACCTGAGGACCAGCTCCTCATCTGTCATAAATTGACACAGCTCATTTGACTTCAGTGAAGCTCTACCAGTTCACTTCAACAAAGGTCCTGCCTTTATGTGTCCGATGAAAGCAGCTGAAATTTCAAGCACTTCAAGGGAAGATTTAAAGTAAAAAATGCTTTTGAAAAAATGGTGTTTAGTTTGCAAATCTGTCATCAAAAGAGGAAAAAAAAGGGAAAAACCACAGAATCAATTAATCTACTGAGCACTTTGCCGCAGAAACATTCTCTGTAGTCAGATGGGAAAGAGGTATTACCTGTTGTGCAAGGACTTCTGCCTGCAGTAGGACATTGATGGAAGGCAGGCTGCTGTCTTCATAACTGGACCTCCGGGTGCTGATTCGATCACGTTCATTTTGCACAGCTGCAAGAAAGTATTTTGGCTCAACCGCTACTCATGAATGGACATGTGCACCACATACAGTCACACCCATTTGGTATTCCCTCTACACAATAAACGATCAACTTTCATATGCCATGGTTTTGCCACTATACAGTGCAGTGTGGGAAGAAAGGTAGGATGCAGTTGTATCTGGTTTTAGACATTAAACGTAAGGAGCTTGACTTGCCTAAATTTGGTGCCTGATTCAACATTTGGGATCTTCTGAGTGCCCTAATACAGCAAAGGCTGCAGTTGGAGTAATAATGCTGATGAGGTGAATTCAAGTGCCTGCTGAGCAGCACTTGTGCTGTTTATAAGCCGCAGTAGTCAACCCAGGGTGGGCAACGTACAGTCATCCAAACTATCTGCTCTGCAAGGTTATCGATCCACTCCAGAGCCAATTGCAACAAACTCCCCATGAAACTGGTGGCTCCTTGGATTTGTATTTTCTGAATATATAATACAGCTTGATAAAAAGCAATAACTAGCCAGCGCTAAAAAAAAAGCCCTGCAGTCAGCGGCTGTAAATAGGAGTTCTCAAGGTTACGCTGTTCGTTATCAGTGGCAGGGGCCCCAGGTTCAGTCACGCCATGATGTTTTCCAAATGTTTGTTCAGTATTAGCTGGTCATGGACCTAATGTAACTTCTATTGAATATTAACAGACACCAGCAGAGCTTTAAATACAAGATGAGTAGGTTTGAAAGAGAGAGGATTCCTCTGATCTTCAGGAAAACTTAAGCCAAGTTTTTCAGGAAAAAAAACTAAGGTTTTTAGTCATGCCTGGTTCCCGTTGTATAGGAAGAAATATTCATCAGGTAAGGGAGGCTACAGGTCTCCTAGAAGGGCCGACTTCCTACTGCAATGGTGTGAGATGTTGTGTGTCAGTTACTTTCAAATGTATGGAAGGTTTTTTATCCTAAGGGCTTGGCATCGAGACGAACATATCCTGGGATCAGGAAAATGTGGGGCTTAAGGTATGTACTCAAGAACAACAGGGCCAAACCCACCCCCCGTGCCAGTCCACTCACTGACTCAGTGGGAGAAAGATTTATTGCATAGACATTATCTGAACTACAACAGATGAATCCAGGCTTACTGTGGCTACTGTATGATATAGGAAACATTGCAAAGGCCTTGAAGGTAGATGTACAAGGAGGCTTGTGGAATGACTTGCAAGGCCTTGGTCATGGTGGGTGATGGTGGTGCATAACGGTGGGTATTTTAATGACTGTTCAAACATTTTATCTGTGGTGAAATATCACCAGTTTCCACCACAGACTTTACCAGAGGTGGAAATGCACTGTTTTGGTATGGAGAAGTTTCACCATTGCCAGTGCATAGGACAGACCTCTGCAACTCTCAAGAGTGAAATGGGATGCTTATGCTTTTTGCTGACCTCCTCTAGACAGGGGTGCATTTTACCCCATACCGAGTTTTCTCCTTCTCTGGGTGTCAAAGAAAATTTTGAGCAAAATGAATAAAATTGTGCTGCTTTCTAATCAGCTTCTGCAGTGCAATTCTGCTTGAGTACAAATTACCTGATTATATGCTTTTAATGTAAAAGCCACCAGCACTTCTTTAGGATAAAAAGTATAATAGGCAATTCACTCAAGCGACCTTTATCTAAAATAGGTCTTTGCGGCAGTTCCCTTGGTGAAGAAGGAGTAAAGAATACTGTAACTTCGCTGCTACGGAAAAACAATCGTCAGTCAAAGCTTTGAAACATCTAAATGTGTTCTCCTCTAAACTGAGCCCTCACATTGCAGCAGACCAGGTTCACTGTAAGGGCAAAGGGCATAGTGACTCACCTCAGAAAGAAGCAGCCACAAAAAGCTATGGAGGCCTTCTCTACATGGGGAAAGTTGTACTGTTTATACCAGCGTACTATGTAGGGTGTGTGTGTATCTGTGGGTCCAGGTGACGTGTCAGGAGGTGGGGCAAAGTAGTAGTTAAAGCAGTAGCATAACTGACTTTACGGGATGTCAGTGGGTGATACGAGAATGGAGAGGTTTCCTAGTGACTAAGCCATCCCAAGTTGACGGTAAGTCATAAAATAACTGAGTAATGGCGCACCTTCCTTCTTCATTCCCGCTCGAAAGCACTTCTTAAGCCTGCAGTAGCGACACTGGTTTCTTTTGTCTTTGTCTACAACACACTGTCTGTTAAACCTGGAAAGGAGAGAGAGATGTCAGTGGCAATAACCCAAAGAAAAACAACAGAGCAGAAACACAGATGCCCTGGCCTGAGAAGGGAATATTAAAATCTGGCGCTTCCATGGTCACTTTGCATCTGTTAGTTTCTCAACAAATTAAACAAGAATTATTCCATGTGGGGTGGCACAGGGCAGCTAAGGGATTTGGACACATAATCCCTATTATTTTCATGTCTCCCTAGCAGTGTCAAAAGTAGATGTCACTGGGTCAGAGTCTGTCACTGTCACTCCTATGCTGCTAAGTGGGATGGGGATCCCAGGTAGGACCAGCTAGATAGGAGCTAGATCCCGGTGATTGGAGTGGTCCTTAGTTATTTTGTACCCAGAACTCTGAGCAATAATAAATGGACTCCATTTGGACTGTCACACCTTGACCTTAAATAAGAGCAGTGCTTGCAGCCTTGTTGTGTACTTGTGCTTAGAGGTATTGTGCAATCCTCAAGCACACGGAGCTTCCTGGAAGCTTACTGGTGTCACCCTCCGAGCTGTCCTTCCTACAACTCCTGTTCTAACTTGTGCATTATTATGAAAAATGTTATTATGGAAAAGGAATCATTGCACCACACCATATGCCCTTACATTACGCTTTACCACAGTTAGGCATCTTGACTCCTAATCCTTTTCTGACCTCTAGATAACACAGAACCAAACTATAGAGCCGCCTTCCAGTATCACCATCAGTCTTCACTGGGTAAAACCATTGCAGCTTCTGCCACACTGCTATACCCACATCCATGACTCCCAAAGGCAAACACTCCCCTGTCTCTCTTTTTTATGGCAATGTCAATAGCAGTTTGCGTAGAGTTTATTCGGAATTTGACATGCTCTCTATTTAATTTTAAGCTGGCTGGTCAAGTCTGGTTAAATATGGGGCATGTGAGCTGCCACAAGGGGATAGTATCCTTACCACGTAGATTACTTCAGCTTTTGAAAAGCCTGGTTTTATCGTGCTTTTTTAAAACCCTAGGACAAGATATTCCAAGATGGGTACCTAACAGCAGTTTAGGTCTATGGCTAGGCATCTATATAAGCTGCCTCACTTACAAAACAGTCTCACTAAAATCAGGAGGAGCTTCTGTATGTTTAGCACATTGGAAAATCAGGACACTAAATATGGATTTAGGAGCCTAACATTAGGTACCTATTTTTTAAAAAAAAATCTAGATGGAGGCTTCAAGTTACACTGCAAATTCCACTTCCATCTTAGCTTTCTTTCTATCTTCCAGATTTCAGATCTGTGTTGTTAAATCCATCCCCCTGTAACAAGATCTGGGGTAAAACTTACAAAAGCAATGAAGCAGATCACTTTCAAAAGTGACATAAACTCTTAGGAGCTGAAGAGCCATTGATTTTTAATGAGACTTAAGTTCCCAAGGCCAAGCTGCACAAAGGTGTTTCAGTGATATGGATTTCATGCTTGGGAGGTTTGGGGGCCAGTGCCAAAGTTGCTTTTGAAAATGGGTTTGGCATGAAACCTGCATCTCAGGCTAGAGATCTTGAGTATGCTCCTGGGTGTAGGCATCTTCCTACACACCTTGCTTGACAGTGACTGGGGCAGGGCTACCTGAAACTATTCTTAAGTGACCCCTTGAAGACCAGAGTAGTAAGTGTCTCCAGCCCTCTTCTGCTGGAAGGAGAAATGGAGTAGAAAGAGAGAGCAGGGGAAAGTGAACCTAAGGTCTGGGGACTTTTCAGTTATATTCTTATTAGCCCCAGTAAAGCCTCTGACAGTAGGGCATACTCCATCCATACCTGCAGGAGTACATGTGGTTCTTCCTGACGCTTCTCCTGAAGAAGCCTTTGCAGCCATCACAGCTAGAGGCACCGTAATGCTTCCCTGTGGCACGGTCCCCACAGATGGCACACAGTGCACTCACCCCGAGGCTGTTGGATGCATTAAGGTTGGTTGTTTCTGATGGAGATGTGTCTGTTTTGGGGAAGGAAAAAAGGGAGGAAGTCAGTGAAAAGTCACAGCAGCTGCTCTTTACTTAAGAGGAGTGGTGGCAAGAGGTCACCAGCAGGACCTCATAGTGTGTGCATTCTCTTTCTCTGCACACACACACACAGCAGATTCCAAATACCAAGGTCTTGCCAAAGATATGCACAGTTGGTGCCATTGGGTTCTTTGAAAATCAGGCCTGTAGCTCATTATTTTCTCATTTCTCATTAAGCTAGACACTCAAGCTGATTCTCTTAAGTCAGGGGCGGGCAATTATTTTGGGCAGAGGGAAGCTTACTGAGTTTTGGCAAGCTATTGAGGGCTGCATGATAGGCAGCCAGGAGCAGACAAATATTAATTTTCTAAATTTTTAAGGGGCCCCGTGGGCCGGATAGAATGGCCTGGTGAGCTGCACCTCACCCCTGGGCTGCATTTTGCCCACCCCTGTCTTAAGTGCTACACACCTGCATCTCTCATTGACTTCTATTTGCAATGAAGGGTGCTTGGTACTTCTTAAAATCAGATGGTTTATTTGGATGCCTAGCATAAGTGCCTGACTTCAGGCATTCAGATGTAGAAACGCTGCCCTAAGTGTCCATAAAAGCTAAGGATCCAAAAACAGAATCCAGGCACAGAGGCCATGCTTGAAAAATTCATTTATATCGATCGCTGTGCTTCTGTTTAATGGGGGCAGCATACAAAAAGCATTGAGACCTGCTTGTGAGAGGGGTGGGCTTGCAGAGCATGATGATCACTCAAACAGTCTGAACTCCAGAGACAGCCTCAAACAGGGGAAACCAAATTCACAGCTGGCAGTGACCAGAGCCAATAATTATTCGGGATTTTCAGATTTGGGGTTTCTGTTTTGATGCACTGCCAGGACTAGCTTGAGAGACCTGTGGAAGCAAACAGGGAACCAGTGCAGAACTTGGAGCATATGTATTATGTGCTCAGTGCAGGACTCCAAATTTAATAAGGAAGCAGCTGTATTCTGCAGAAGCTGTGGTCTTCAAAGAGCCCCAGGTGGCCCTTGTCAGAGTATGTTAGAGAACTGAGATGAGGTTTGCATTTGAGAAATTAGTGGCTACCAGACATGGGAAACCACCTTATGGGCTACTTGGTAACCCAAGGGCAGCAATTAACCCAAAAGGATCCTGAGATCCTCACTTATCTTGGAAAGTGTAGACAACCCTCCTCAAATACAGTCTCAGCCAGGAGTCTAAGTGCTTTCCCCTGTTTATGGGCCTCACACCCAAGTCCTGGCACTGGTTTCACTTTCATGCGGATCCTGCTTTCAGTCAGCTAGATTGTGCCATGTTATATTCCCAGAAGCAAGGCCTCACCCACTCAGTGAGCCCTGCTGACTTCAGGCAGAATCCTCATGTGAATGAGTGCTCTCCCTTCAGATGCCTCAGACCAGAAAGGCTAGGGACAGAAGTTACACATAAATCAGTTTAAGTGATCCGAAACTGATTCAAACCTGTAACAGAATAGAAGCTCAAAATGGCTGAAACTGGTTTAAGGTAAACTTGATTGAATATAGTATCAGACTTAACTGATTTGTGACAAACCAGTTTATGAAACTTCTGTCCCAGACCCCTTCCTGGTTCAAGTTAAATAACAGTCTCCCAGCATCCCAGCCCTGGATTGGGCTGTGCTATCTGCTCCAGGGAGCAGGGCTGGCCCCACCCCTCTGCTTCCTAGCTGGAGCAGTGAAGGCTGGCTGACAAGGGGAGGGGCGGGGGTTGAAGGCAAGTCCCGCTGGGGATGCAGCCCAATTCATTGGGGGAGGGAGGGACTGTCCCCCGGCAAACTCCAGCTGTGATCTGGGGCCAGGGGGCGTTAAACATTATTTTCCACACTGAAACTTATTGCTGGCTGCAACTGTGGAATACAAACCCCAGAGCCACCTGGAAGCAGGAAGAGGAAGTGATGAGCAACCCTGCAGAATCCTGCTGCTGTGATTCTGGACTGCAAATCCCAGAGACCTTGGGGGGAGCAGGAAGAGGAAGCGAACACACAGCCAGAAAGTTGTGCTCTAGTGCTCTCTGGCTTCTGGCCTGAGCCACTGTAGGGATGTGACTGCATTTCCTGAATCAAAGGTACATGTCTGTTCCATGGGTGACTGAGCCACCTTAGTCAGGGGGGTGGGGGGGTATGTGCCCCCCCAGTGACCAGTCAGCGACCGGGGGGGTCTCCCCACGGCCAGTCTCACTGATGAGCAGCGTTCCCCACGGCGAATCACTGCGGCCACTTACTAAAGTGACTATGGCCACTCCCGGGAGTGCCATAGCACTCCCACCCCAGCTGGTGCTTGCAGGGGTGGCATTCCTGCCTGCCCCCCCGCCCATTGCCTAAGTGGCGAGTGTAGCCACTCAGGGGGTACACGTGCACCCCCTATGTGTCGCCACTGGTCTGTTCACTTCTGTTTCAATTTAATCTGTGCAGTTTAGATTAACCTGCAAAGACTGAATTGATTCAGCCTTGGGCTTTTTGACTGTCTGTACCTAGCCAAAGAGAAGAATGAGACTTTAGGACGTAGGAGGCTTAGAGCTGGACATCCTCAGGAATCTGATAATGTTACAGCACAAGCTACCATGAAATCTATCCTTCAGCGGCTATCCACAAACATTGGCAAAAAATGGTGGCAGGATTTTGCTGCAGAGAAAGCCACCGGCCAGATTACTTGAGGAGGATGGGAAATATCACCCTCTGTGGTCAGGGAGAAGAAGCACCAAATCAGTAGAAGCCTCATTCTGCTGCACTAAGACCCCCTCAGGGGAGTTAGTCAAACCACAAGGCAGATGGCATCAAAACTTGGTAACTGTGTAGGTCTAACCTCCACAAAGACCACCTTAAGGTACCGTGTATCTGCACAGCTACCTGCATCTCCACCCCTGGAAATTCTGATTTTCAATTATTTTTCTGATTTTAAATGCCCATAGAAACAGATCACATAGGTCTACTGAATTACTGGTTCCTGGGTCTACAGGTCCCACCAGCTCCCTGCAACTAACATTAATGGAGCCCGGTAGAAATTAATGGGGACCACTGGAAAGCACAAGACTACCTGCAGGATTCCACTGGGGGGGTACTGGGATTTCTACCCGGGCAAAAGGAGATCATTGATCATCACAAGTGACACAGAACCTATGCTAAGGTCTGAAACGCCTAGTGAAACTTAGGGGGCATGAACTAAACATGAACTGAAAGCACAATAAAGGCATGTGCGAGCCTCTGCCTTGCAAATCACAGGCACTGTATTTCATGAGCCCCAGGGTCAAGCCCATCATTGGGGTAACTTAATTGGAGTTACACTGGAAAAGACCCTGTGCCTCCAGCTGTCTGATCTAAGACACAATGTCCCACTCTCCCTGCTGTCCTGGTTTCCCTTCTGTTATGAAAGAATGCACAGATCTCATTCATACTTTGGCAGGGAGAGGGTTACCACTCTCCCCAGGAAAGGCCACAGCTGCCTGTAGTTGGTGCAAGGGATCATCTGGGCGAGGCCACAGCTGTGCTGAGTCAGCCTGGCCCCAGCACGCTATAAAAGGGCTGTTGGTTGAGGTGATGGGGCTGATACTAGGAGCTCGAATTCGGGGGTGGGGGAAAAGAGGATAGGACAATGCTATCTCAAAAAGGTCTCCTGCCACAAAGTTCATTGAGAGGCCAGGCTGACCCCTTTGTTTAAAGCCCAGCCTCTAGGAAGTTCTTTTGCTGTTTGTTTGACCAGGTTCTGGATATGCCAGAGACATGGAGTTCTGCAGCCTGGGAATCTGGTCCCTGATTGACCTGTCCCACTACACAGAGAAGTACCGCTGAAATATCTGACAAAATGTGCCCTCTGACTAAGGGCTGATCTAAGTATGGAAGTGGTATGGGCATGGGTCTGGGTGTAAATCCAGAGTACTACACTTGCAGTGGTAGGACTCCTTGTGTGGAGGGCCTAACAAGTGGACTTAAAAGGCTTTCCATATAGACATCTTACTGCTGCATACATACTAGGTTCCCCTGGTTGGGATAGTTTTCTGTAGTGGATACTGGAAAGGCTTTAAGTTTAATATAGTCTAGTCCAGGCATGTTGTTAAGAGGAGGTGTTTTTATCTCTGCAAGCCAGCTGAATCTACACAGTTCAAATGTTGGAGTGTGAAGGCAGTCGCATCTTTCTGAATCCCACAGCTGACCACCTTTTCTGGGACCCCCAGCCCCTGAATTCCCCATGCCAACTTGCTTCCCTGGCATATATAAGATGGCTATATGAAAAGCCTATATGTCTACTTGTTAACCTGATGTTGCAGAGAGTGACCAGTGCCTGACTATGTATATCGCTATGGGGGTGCAGGCTGTACAAATTATAGCCTCCAGCATATGCATTCCTTAAGGCCATATTACATGCTAGGAATGATCACTTGTCCTTACTGATGAAGTTGCAACATGCTCCGTTTTTTTCACTCTGGCTTCCTCACTCCTAGCAAGTTGCAAAAACAATTTGCCCAGCCAAACACAATGAGGTGTCCTAGATACACACTGTCACCTAGAAAGGTAACCTCCAAACAGCATCGCCCTTACCCAGCACTGCACTGCTCCTGCTACCACTGCAGAGAATGGCTCTAACTGACCCTGAGCTTGCCTATAGAAGAGAATTTTCTTATTATCACAAACTCTCCCATGTGGACACTTATTCTGAAGTAAAAGTTAGTTTTTCAGTTAATTTCAACAGATTCCAGGGAGATCAAACCTGACCAGGAAAAGGCCCTCCATACAAGGAGTCCTACCACTGTGAGTGTAGTGCTCTGGATATATGTAATGGTAGACCCAAGAAGCCACATACAGGGGCAAGGGCCCTTTTGTGTTCAGCTTGCACCCAAACATAACAAAAAAGCCCATTCCTACCTCAAAACACTTTCCAATCCACCCAGCCTCTGTTCTTCTAAACTGGAAACCAGCACTGAATGATTTGCTGGTAGATGATTCTTGAACATTATTTG